TGTTATTTGTATAGTAATAATAATCTTTTAGTAGTTCATAAAATAAATAAAAGCAGGATCGCTTAATATAAAAAAAATAAATAAATTGTTGCTTGATCTAAAATTTTTACTTTATTAATATAATAAATTTTAAAAATTCAAATACAAAATTTGAAAACTTAATCTTAAAACAGAATAAAATATATAACCTTGTTTCTTTCTTTTTTCTCTTTTACTAAATTGAATTTAAAAGAATATACAGTAATAAAACTGATAATTTTATTTGTTAGCATGTTTATAAATATAGGAATTTTAATAAAAAATAAATATATTTGTAGAAAAAATTAAAAGAATTTTATCTTTTGCCACACCTGCATTGTAGCACCTCTTATAATATATGTAATATTTGTACTACTATATTATGTATTTAATCATAGCATATCATAATTTTAAAGTCTAATCTAGATATAAACAAAATAATTTAGGAAATTTTTGAACCTTGCCTTTACAACGTCAATTACAGGTTTTTATATAGCAAAGCTTTTTTTTTTTACTGTGCAAGGTTTTTCTCTTGAGGTTTTTATTTAGTCTTTTTCTTTATACTACTAGGTCTTTTTTTTACATCCCCAGGACATTTTTTATATCATCAGGTCAACTTTTGTATCACCAGGTTACTTTTGCATTCCAAGATTTTTAAGTCTCTTTTTCCATTCAAGTTTCTTTTTCTATTCAAGTTTCTCTTTGCATTTTCAAGTCTTATTTTGTGTTACTAGGTTTTTACTTTGCTTTTTTTTTATATTGCTAGGTCTTTTTTTTAACGTTGCCAGGTTTTTTTGTTTTGCTAAATCTTTTCATGTTGCTTTTGTATCACTAGTCTTCTTTATATTGCTAGATTTTTTTTACTATTATTATTATATTACAAGGTTATTTTATATTGCTATGCTTTTTTATTTTACACCTTCAGATCTTTTTTTATAGTGTTAGATCTTTGTTTTGTTTGTGTGACTAGGTCCTTTTCTTGTATTATTGAGTTCTTTTTGCATTACTAGACCTTTTTTTATATTTCCAAGTCTTTTTGCATTTCCAGATAATTTTTGGAGTTACCTTTATTGTTATTATTGTATTACATGCCTTTGGCATTTTTTTTATATCATTGAATCTTTTATTAGATCGTCAGATATTACTAGATTTTTTGCATTGTTAAGTCTTTTTTGAACTGTCAAATTTTTTTTGTACCATTAGGTTTTTTATTCTTATCATTATTATGCTGCCAGTTTATATTATGCTTTTAGATATTTTTTTATATCTTTATATCTTTTTATCAGATCATTTTCATACTTTTTATATCACCAGGTCGTTTTTCGTATTGCTAGATTTTTCATACTACAAAGATCTTGCTAAGTCTCTTTTTTTGTATTATCAAATTATTTTATTGTAGGTTTTTTTTTTATACCTTTAGTATTTTTTTTTTTGTATAGTATTTGCTTTTGCTAATTATTAGACATTAATAGTTTTTTTTTCTTATTGGAATACAAATTTTAAGTTCTTAATATAGCTGAAGCAATTGAGGAAGTTAATACTGATTATATCGAATATGCTAATACTAGTGAAAATACCAATATAGCTGGAGTGATTGAGAAAGTCGATACTGATCATACTGAATATACTAACACCAGTGAAGTCGAAGATACTAGATTCTATGAAAAGGTTACAAGTTCCAATTTGTTCAGCAACAAGGTTTTTTTGACATGGGAAGTGTGTGATCTATTTGTTAATGAGTGGGCTAAAAAGCATAGCTTCTATACAAAAAAAGATCATGTAAAATGAGAGAATGGAATTTTAAAAAAGTATACATATCTATGTGATTATGCCTATTTTTATGAGTCAAAGTTAGATAAAGATTCAATTACAAAAAAAATTAATTGTCAATTTCATATTAATGCTTCATGCCCCAAGTTTAATAACAAAAATCTAATTTTTTTTTTTTTTTTTTTCTCTTTAATAACCACATACTAAAATTTTATTAAATATTTACTACTTAATACATATTAAGCTATTTAATAATCTAATTAGACTAA